GAGGGACCGTGTTGTACTTAGGCCCAAATTAACATGGATCTGGTTAGGGATTGGCTGAATGCAGATGAGAGAAACACCGAAATTTTAGGTTCAGCCAATCAGCAAAATTTCAGAGGAGAGGAATCCAGGCGTTCCCGGAACCATCGGGACTTCTGCCTCTCCAGAGCAGTCACCAGTCATCAACAGTGAGTAACAGGAGTGAGTAGCCAAAAGGGAGTAACAGGAGTAACCTCCCGGACGTTAAATCGGTGTTGGCCGAGTCCAGTGTACAAATTCAAAGTGTTACAGCCTGGTAATGGGTAATTGTAGTGCACATCTACAATAAAGAGCAACTGTGTTGGTGAAGTGCGAGTTTTGTGTGTTTTCTCTCTCCTTGTATGAGCAAGGCCCAGAAGTCGCCCTGAGACAGAATCTCGTCCTACCGTCTGAGCAGTCGGAACCCCAAACGCCCACCTACCCAGATCCCCACCTTTGTTTTCCCCGTTCCAAATTCGTGGATTTCACCCAAGTCCACTGGAGCCCACACAAATCCAAATTCAGAATAATCCCACACCCTACCCTGAACCAGACAGCTACAAGGAAGCGGCGGATGAAAGTGCAGACCACAAAGGGGCGAACGTGACGGCGAGGTATAAGTGACGCCGAACGTGTAGGCGAAAGGTAAGGGAAGTAATAAGTGGCGACCAACTCGTGAAGCTTGAAGTCTCACTAAGCGGTTAAACAATAATAAGTGGCGCAGCCAACGCGTGGCGACGACGTCTTTGCAAGCACGAGAGCAAGAGGAGGGAACACAGCACAACACGTCCCAAATATCGAGGAGTTAAGACGGACGGAGCCAGTAGCTACCCATCCTACAGCACCAACGCCGCACACGAGGTCAGCAATCTACTTACAAAAGGTTAGTGACGAAACGCTAAGATGGAGAGTCGAACGCTGAGAAGCCGCACAGTAGAGACTCGGAGGGACATCCAGAGTTCACCGGCAGGGGAGAATGCATCTACGGGTCCCACTGCATCACAGGGCAACTTAGGCAGTGTGAGTGAAACAGTAGGACCGGCCCCCATTTATCCTCAGGAACAAGAGTTAGTAGAACAAACAGAAACAATGTCAACGCAGGCAGAAATGGTTAAAACCAGTGCTCAG